TGTCGTCTTTAATGTCATTAGTACCAACGTGCAATATCATTGTGTCAGGCTTTTTGCGTATCAGGGGTTTTATATAGTCCTGCATGTCTTCTACTCTACTTCCTGAGAAGGCTTTTACTGACACACGTTGTTCGTCGCTGGACAATTCCCAGCCATGCACATGTTGCAGAATAGAGTCCCCTGCAATAAATGCGAGTTTACCAGACTTAAGTTAAGGTGGCTCGATACAGTTTTCAGAAATTCAGGTGTTCAACACTTTGACATGTTCAAACTACTCAGTTTTAGGATTTATTCAGCAGATATTGGTTTTTTTATATATTTTGATATCTCTACTTTCAAATTATAGTAGTTTTAATAACAGGTAGTCCGTTTCTATGACGACATACGTGTACGAAATTCACTCCAAAATGGCCTATCGTCTCGTATAGTTGGAAAAGAAGCATGGTGACCCCTATTTTTTTTTGTGCATTATTTTACTTGGACGAAAAGCTAACAATTAGCAAAATATAAAAAAAAATTCTGTAATGCCATTTTTTTGGAAAAGGCGAAAATGTCATATTCTTCGGTAAAATTTTTTTGGCATTACAGATTTTTTTTATTTTTTGTATAATGAAAGTTTTTAGAGGTGCAAAACAGCATGCAAAATGTGAACATAGATCACCAGTCAAAATAAAGAGATATAGCGCATTGTTTTTCTAAAATGGAAAATTCTAGTGACGTCAGCAATTGACATAAAACGCTATAGAACACGCGCAATGGCGTGATATGGCGCGAGCAACTGCTCACGTCAGGTCATTTTGGAAGTTCTTTCATTTTGTTAATCAGTTTCCGCGACCTGCGCTTAAAAATGGTCACCCGGTTTTGAGTTCGCGATTCTTGAGTAGGGTTTTTGTAATAACTATATCGAGCCACCTTAAATTAGCTATACGATTACAACACAAATAGGATTTTGAATGATTGAATTTAATTAAACCTCACCGTGCAACAATAGTACAAGTACTATAGCACGGTAGCAAAATGAGAATTATAATTCTATATCATGTAATCAGAACGGCCAGGGGCCGGTTGCATAAAGCCGGTTTTCCACTTGCGACTTTTTTCGCGCGAAGCGAATTTTTCTTTTGTCTTTATCCAATTAGTTCCAAATGGTGCCAGTTGAGAGACCAAAGACAAATGAAAAATTCGCTTCGCGCGAAAAAATTCGCAAGTGGAAAACCGGCTTAAAACTCTTACTAGAATCACTTTTTTAATCACTATTTTGTAGTTAAATAGTGATTAACTCTCAAATACGCGCTTTTTATTGGATGACGTTTCCACTAACTATAGTTAACTTTAATCAGTTTTTTATACAACCGGTCCCAGAATTTAATAATGTGTTATATAATGACTGATACTTACATTTAGAGCAAAATAACAATTTTAATTAAATGGCATATTTTCAAAAAATCGCAAATTTCCATCAAAATGCAAATCCGTCGAAAGTCACGTCACCTAATATCAGATACTGAGTAATTGTATTGGTTGTAGTGCAGGGGCGTTGGTAACTCATCTTCTGCCTTAATTGCGACAGTGACGGGGAGCATTCTGGGAGTAAACCATTCTGGGAAACCTATATTTCAAGTCTACGTACCACGTTGCCGAAGTATAATTACGGAAAAAAATACAGCCGTGAGTGTAGTGAAGTGTAATTATTTTCGTAACGCTAATAGCATACTGTACATATGTTCTTTTATTTTTGTGATTTTTTACAGTTAACCAAAATTTGATTTTTCCTGGAATATTGATGCTCTCAGCTGCTGGCCTCATCCTTATAACGACGGTTTTCCAGGTAATATTTGTATATGAAAGTGCCGCTAACCTCCAATATGACTTTTGGTATGTGCAATACAAGGTCTCTTCCAGGGATTTTCCAGTGGAGGGGCATTTAAGGGAAATGGACTTACAATCGTCGACAAAACTGGAAAATACATTCACCCTCTCACACACCCAATGTTGCCATTATTTTCCCTACGCCTTGAACGCAATTCATGTTACATTATGTTGGGGGAAGGGGAGGTGGTGTTTTATAGGCAAGAAACATAAATCAGACTAAAATATAAACGCTCGCAGAAGCAATGAAATTAAAATTTTGTTAACATGTTATATCCAGGATGGTAGCTAACTAAGAGGCGATGAGCTGGAAGAGATTGAACTGCATGGTGGGAGGGTCTATAGAACCATCATATCTGACAGCTTTGAAAGTAAAATAGTTGATCAAGATAAGATCTTCTATTCTTCTTATGACATTTCTTCTCAGAATGATCCGAATATTGCATACACCAAAATCCATATATTTTCGCTGTTGGTGCCACTTTATAACCCAGGGAAATCAGAGTTCTGTTATGAACCTCTTGACGGTTGCGCACACCACATAGCGGAATTGAAGGAACGTAATTAAGATTCTCGAATTTTGTTCTGTTTAATTTGACTTGTATAAAATTCTCATTATTCCTTCATAGGTTGCAAATCTGTTTGATAGATGGAAATCTTTAGTAATAAGTTCATTTAGCGGAGGCGTAGATTCATCATCTGCTGTACTTCTTATCTGTAAGGTAGGCCTACGGCTTAAATCTGATACATATCCATTGTGAATTAAAATAAATGCTACACAAATTTGATTTGTAGTTTTAATCGTATTAATCTCACTTGATTGTATCACTGCCACTACATGAATTGCATTGAATTCAATGTAATTCGTTTAATTTTTTGGATAGATAATGATTACTACATGCATGAGCCTGTGTCAGGGCGTTAAAATGCTTCTTATATGCTCTATAAATAGTAAAGTTGGCGTACATTTCATCGATGTTAAAGTACGATTTTCTAAACTAGTTTTACCCAAGTTCTATGTTGTGTTACACGCGTATATAGCTAAATGAGCCTGTGGATTTTCAAATGATATAGCTACAGAAAAATATTTTACCATGCATTACGATCATTACGAGAAAGACTCAGAATATTATTTTAGGAGGGGCTAGAAATCTTCATGATCCTTAGAATAGAAATTTTCAAATTTTCGACTCCCTAGCTCCTCGTATTTTCTGGCACGGAGCCTTTGGATAACTTAACATTTAATTGGACTGATTTTTTATTACACCACTTATGTTCAATGCAAATACAGGTGTATAAAAAAAACGCAACCTCGGAATTTCCTACGAAATCACTTTGCAATTCTTAAGCATAAAAGATTTTAGGCCCCTGGGAATTGAAATCGAATTGCTAGTAGATCATATTACTGTAAGTTGTTGTGCATTAAATAAATGCATAAATTTTGCTTTATGCACTCGCGTGTGCAGTAATTTTGTTAAGAAATATATGATTTTTATTCCGTTTTTCGACGCGAGGTAGGGAATCGTTACAGTCAACCTCTAATAACTATCAGTTCTTAATATAATGTTCGTCTTCTTGTAGTAGTTTTCCTAAAGTTCACTTCATTTCACTTTACTCATCAGTCTTCATTTTGCTTCACTTTACTGATCAGTCCACTGAGATTGTGCAACCCCTTTTATACTAACGGTTGAGGGATCTTTGTACACGTGATGTAGCAAATAGTGTGATTTGTATCCAGCCAATCAACGTTGATAAAATAAGTATTTTAAAATTTAGATAAGAGGTTTAAAAGTGTGGGTTGGCGTTGTTAGCTCGTTCCAGCCCTCAAATTCTATTTATTTAAGGCGTTGTCGCACTGGTCGAGTTGGTTCGCTATTCAATCAATCAATATTAAAATATGTTCAAAACTTTAAATACTTATCAAAATATCATAGTAAAAACTTCAAACTATACCTATGTGAACCTTACTTTACCTACTAAACTAAATTTACTTATACAATTTTATTGAACCAAGATTTTGATGACGTAATGTTATCATGACTCAACCGCGCGAAATATACCGAAGAATGATTGACAGAAAGGCCCTAAGCATGCACATTTTCCATGTCAAAGAAGAACCAGCCTTGGACTTTGAATTATGTAAACACAACAGCCCACCATGCAAGGTTATCGTCCAATTTTATACTATTTAGATATACTTTCGTAACAATTTTGACAGTTGTGCTATTTTAAATTCCCAGGCCCCTAAAATCTTTTGTCTTCAAAACAATGTCGATTTCTTGGGAAATTCTGAGGTTGCGTTTTTTTTTATACACCCTGTACTACCGTATACACTTAATGTCTGCTCCCGAGAGAAATAGTTTGTTTTGTTTTCCCGAGAGACTCAATGTCTCCGGGGGAAACATTGCGATTCGAGGGAAACAAAACTAACTATTTCCCGAGGGAACAGACATTAAGCCTTTTGTTATATAGCGCCAAACAAAAATAAACATTCAACAATATTCATACAACAATTGTATTTCGTGACAAAAACTCAATGATGTAAACGAGTTTAAAATTAAAAGAACCTATTTTCAGCAGCATATCCTGCTGCCTGTTGTGTATTTTCTTCCCTTTTACATTCTTTATTTGAACACAAACTTGGAAAATCGCAGTTTATAATTCTGCTAGTTACGCCGCCATTTTGTTTATTTATGTACATAGGTGGGCAACAATTTTTCACTTGTTGCCCGGCGGGATACATTGCATTTATCAGAAGTTACGTGAACACAATTCAGCCAATCACGTTTGGTGTTCACCCTAGCTATATAACAATATCTCTTATGTAATATCTACAAGAAACCAAGAAACCTTTCTTTCAGCTTTATTTCTTACAGATTTCAGTTTCTCGGCATGGAAAACAAGTATACATGCTCCTTTTTTGATTCTCATGCAGATTTGGCAGCTGTGTCACAATTGTAGAATTTTTCTCCCCAAATTATATCCCTATTAAAAATTTGAAAGTAAATTCTGATAGTGAGTTTAGGCACTTGGAAACGCATAAAACGCGGTCAACAATAATGTGGAGTTAAATTGGAGATAATGGGTTCGAAGTAACTCCTCGAAATTAATAATGCTAATTGCACTTCCTGTCATGCAATTTGATCTGAAATCAAACGCGTGATTACAAAATCCGCGAAGCGGGTGTGCGATTTGTGATCACAAGTTTGATTAGTATAGGAAATTACACGGTTCGAGAAATGAAAAATCGCACGCGTGTTTGGCGAAATATTTATAATACCGCGAGTGCGTAGCAGGAACGGTGCAGTATTATAAATATTTCGCTAAACACAAGTGTGCGTGATTTTTCATTCCTCGAACCGTGTAATTCGAGACAAGTGTAATTTCCTGGTAATATCATTTTACAGTCAATTTTACACGAGCAATCAATGATAAGAAAGTAAGAAACATTGTATTTGTATTCAAGCGAGTACAGCCATATACGCGCCTCTGCAAGTGGTCAATTTTGAGAGCACTTTCTGACATTAACTTTCAATTCATACCTATAACAACTGTGAATAATCTTTATTTCTTCTTTTTTTCTTCGTTTTGAAAGCATAAGTAAGAGTTCATTGTAAAATAAGAGCTCAGAAAATGTACATTTTCAAGTTGTTTATTGTGTTGACATTTTGTGTTTGATGCACGCATGATCCACGCGGGCCGCTCGTATCCGTCCCGATTAATCTTTAATCGGCACACCTGTGCGATTAATGTTTAATCAGCACGGTTTTTAACCAATCAGAATCGAGTAAATTGACTAAAATGATATTACAGCTCTAAAATAGTGCGATTTGGGCTGTAATCACACTATTCTTAGCCAATCAGATTGCATGCTCAAATCGCGCATGATTTCAAGATGAATATAATAAAGAGTGTAATAACCTTTTTCATTATTCTATCTTAATATTTCACATTTCAGTTGTTGTACGAAGCTGGTGTTTCATTACGATCAATGATCATTTTCTACTTTCTGCTCGCCATCATCTCAACTCTTGCCCTTACATTTATTTTACCTCCGTATACCATTACTAATTCCGAAGCCATAAATGAAACTGAAAATGCAAAGGGAAGTTCTGTGAAACCCGAGGTAAGTACTGTGATGGATTTGAAATTAATTTGAACAAATGTTTTAAATCTGGTCTACGTACTGCATTTCGGTTTCCCAAAGATCATTTGGCCCAATACCAAGTTCTTTTGGCTGGCAAGACGATATATCGTTTTACAATCCACACGGGTATACTATCTCAATTGCATGGATCCCAAAGTAAAATTATAATAGAAAGTATTTGACACGCATATTGAAACATCTATATAATATACAGTTAGGAACTTGACAGAATTTGTAAACCAATGTCATATCATAGTTTTGACGATTCATTCAAATTTGTTTAATGTTAACCATTTTAATTAAAGACCTTAACTTTCTTCTTAAAATATCTGGAAGGTTAACATTGCACATGAATTATCACCACTCTGTCAATCTGAAGTTAAGAACGAAAAGGAAGAAGATGCCGAAGAAAAAGATATTGATGCCGAATCAAGCGAAGGTAGAAAATTGATCTCGTTTTTTGTCTAGCTTAAAATTATTTATCCATGTAAATGATGTTTTCACATTTTATAGATTTTTACAGTTTGAAATATACCAATTAAGCATAATTTATATTATATCACGACTTCGAGTCGTATATTTAACAGTTATTAATTCTGCAATCTCGAGTCGTATATATGAGCTCGAGCTTATAGTTTTATATTTTTTTTTAATTATCTGCATGCATGGTTAAAAAAATATATTTATGAGAAAAACATAATACGAAAGAGCGAAGATAAAAACATGAACATGCCGAATCAGATAAAACTGACTTTTGAAAAAATTTAAAAGCAAAACCCCTTTATAGAAGCAAAGTCAACAAGCTTTTGTTTAGTCTAAAAATCATGAATATACAGGGTGTCTAAAAAAATCGCTATGAAAATTCAACAGGCTGTTGTGCATCACTGCAACTTAACTAAACAGTTCAATTTGTACATAGGACAAAAGAGCTGTTATTTAGCTTTTCTATTCCACCTTTCTTAAACCGTAACGAAGAGAAATGGCCACATACTCGTCAAATAAAAATTGTCGATCGAAATCACATTCTTCTACCGTTGGGAATTGAAAATACATTAATTCTGGTGCAAAGTTAATCAATCCAAAAGCAACGCGAGCCTTCTGCGAGGTACCTGTTTCGTAAAACGTTTTGATTACGAATGTTCTCTGTTCAGTTCTATAAAACTGTTCTATAAAACTGTCGTCGTATATGACTACCAGCTCATTTACTACTCGAGTTCGCAGAATAACTGCATGTTAAATATATACGGCGAGTAGCTCAACCAATCAGATTGCATAATTACTCGTATACAGTATGGTGGTCATGACTACATTAAAATATGGAATGTGTGTCCCTTTGGGGATTTTTTAATCAACAAGTCTTCTTTTTGCATTAAGTCGTGATTCCTTTTCGCGTTGATTCATGAAATATGGATGGTTGCACATGAGTAATTCATTGACCAGAAGCCTAATTTATCTTTGATGCACGTACATGCACGAATTCATTTTCGTTTGCATTTCGCCGAGAAAATGCGCTCCTGGAATCAGACCTTAACACTTGGCTGAGCTTCGTGTATTACATGCAGCAAAAGTTGTTAAACTTAATATCTCCCACCCTGTATCCAAATGCCATTCCCAATCAAACACAATTACCAATTAGCTCAAAATCTATAAACATAAGAAGGTAAGAAAATTGCGCATTTTATGGCCGTAATACCGGCACATAACAAAAAATCCGCATATTCGTGTAAGATCCAGGGCTTTGGATGTATACGTAGACCAATAAGGTGTGCTTAAAGTCACACAACTCTCATTATTCTGGCATTATTCTGATGAGACCGGATTAAATAATATATTCCAACCACAAAGCAGTAGCACTCTTCCCACAAAATATGCCTACAATCATACAGTTTCAAATGTTTTGAGACAGATGCCACAAAACCTTTGTATTTCAACCAACGTCATCCCCCCGCCCCCTATTCAATGTTGTATCCCATATCTCGTCAGATTTGATGTGTTCGGGTTTAAGCAACATTGATTGGGGTTGGAGGGGGAAGCGGTATTGTGTGTAACAAACTGTAATGGATCAACTTACAATCTAAAACTACTGCATTATGTGTCCCAACAACTTCTGAAAGCGATTGTAGTCAGCGAAGCCCTATCGACATTTTACTTCCGCAAGAACAAGAACTTTTGATTTTGTGGAATTAATTTTTGTATCATGCGTATAGAGAATCTTTTTTTATCCTACCATTTCTATGTTCAGTATTCAGGAGAGTATGAACTTGAAATTAATTATTGACTTGCAATCTGACTTGTAAGCAAATGAAATACATGCCTAAAGTATCCCGTCTAGGATAAGTTTGGCTGTGTGATTTCGACCTTAGTCTTATAGTATAATGTCTAAACAGTTAAAATGTCAGGGGAATACAATAGTGTTTCCATTTGAAGGAAATTCGAAATTTCCCGCTAAAAATAATGCAGAGATTTGATTTTGATAAGAAAGTTGGTGTTTTGTGCAATTGTTTCATGTTCAAATAAAGCGTATCGTTGTTGTATCTTTGTGTCAGTGCCACATATCAGGTACTACGTGTTTGTGATACATGATAACAACTGCACTCACTCTAAGCTAACATCTATCCCATATGATATGACCCGGTGACAAGAAAATCAAGGAGTCAAAACGTGGTTGTTGTGCAATTATCCTATTGACCACGTGCATTTTGAAAATCGATATAAAATGCACAACGCCTTTCATATCCCAAATTCTTTTGCATATGTGGGTGCAATGTTGTTTCTTGATGTGTTTCAGCGGTCCCTACTTTCTCCCGTGGGACTGCATATGCTCGCGGCCTACTATTGTGATTGCATTGTGGGGGTGCGTCCGAGCCATTACAATGAACCACATTCTGATGTTAGGGTGCATGCCTCTGAATGGGTGTGGTAATGTGAGATAAGGGGGGCGGTAGGTTAGGTTTCCGCCGACTCTCCAATTCCACTGTGTATTATATCAAGCTTCATTGGGTAATTTAGACCATGGCTCTAATACCCCCGTCTAATTGGCGAATGATAGACAGAAGGAAAAGAGAAATGCGGGTTGAGAAAATTTGGAAAACCCGGGTGTTATATACTGTATAAGAGTACGAATACAGCTAGAATGCATACATTTGCGGAAGTTATAACTGCATGCATTTTAACCGTGTGATCGTGAATCGTCAGTGGTAAGCCACGATCAGAAGGGGGGAGGGAATCTAGCTCGCCGACGAACCATTCACAGTCAACGAAACATAGAAGCAGTTTACTTCCACAAAACCATTTTGTAGTTTTAATATCGCTCCCTGATCCAATTAATGCTTAATTTTACGTAATGATGAACGTCTACCTTTCTTTTCCAAGAAACAGCCCCTGATCTAATGAGTCAGATGTTGACAGCTGAATATATACTGTCAGTTTTGTACACGAGTGTATGTAGCCTTCGTCTGTGGTTTTATGTTGGTGATTTAAACTCATATTTGGAATTTATGTCTGACAATGACAAGGATACAGGTACGTTGACTTTCTTTGTTTTGCATACGTTTTTCATCTTTAGTAAAACAAAACGGAAACAATTTATTTGTGCGTTCGATCTTTTAATATAGTAAGCAAGTATACCAATTGGTTTGGCATTATTCAATGTACTGGTTTTTTCTTTGCTCCCATCATTGGTTTTGCCATGGACTGGAGACAAAAGAAGAAACGGAATGAGAAATCTGATAATGGTTTCGTAGCTGGTTATCTTTTGACTACATTTGTCGCTTTAATGTTGAATATTCTTGTTCTCATTCCCAGTTTATCTATGCAGGTATCAGAGCTATGGACGTCAAGGGATTAATTTATCTAAAATCACCACTGTTATAAATAATTTCATTCCCGGGCCACATTCCCAGCGACAGCTCGGGGCGAGGATACAAATTCCGCTCGGCCATTTACACCCTAGAAAAGACAGCAAGCGGATTCAAATGTTTATCAATTATCGCGGGCGCATGGGTGGTCATCTAGGGGGTCATCTAGCTGATCTCAAAAACAGGGCAAATTGCCAGGAGTGGAATAAAGTCCTAACTCCACGAAATGCGAAAAATTCGAAAAATTTTGCGCAAAAAACACACTTGTGTGAAAATTTTCTCTCGTAGTGATTTCCACATTAGAGAAAAAAAATCGCCAAAACACAAGCATTTGATTAGTTTCGCTATTTTGTCATCCAAAACACAAACATTTGATTCTAAATGAAAAAGAGAGCAAATTAATATTTCCAAGAGCGAATTGTCTGATTTAATAAGCATTATTAATAAAAACGATTAAGGGACATATCAGAACGTTTCACGAAGATTCTTAGCGGGTTTAATTTTACAATAAGTCAAACTTTATAGAATGCATAATAACATAGCTATATGCATACTTACATTGTATACAGCTATTTCAATTAAGGTTGTCCCCCGAGCAAAGTGGAAAAGTCGAATATGAGCGCGAAACGCTGCTGGGAATCGCTAATAAATTCATTCATTTATTAGCGATTCCCAGCAGCCTTTCGCGCTCGTAGCCTATTCGACTTTTCCGCTTTGCTCGGGGGACAACCTTAATTGAAATAGCTGTATTTCAAAAATTGATAATTCTATCATTAGAAATACCAACCTTTGCCATTTTGTACAAAAAATATATTTAAGAAATTAATTAAAATAAAACGATCGTATTACCATGACTACAACTGATGTCACTTGACTCGAGCCAGCAAATTCGGTCATTTGTTGGCCGCCTACTTAGCAATCTGAAGATTCAACAAATGACCGAACGCTCGCTCGAGTCAAATTACGTCAGTTATATAGTCACGGTAATGCGATTAATATTTTATTTCATGTTGAAATATAGTTGTGAAATATAGTTGTCTGGATACAAAGATGAGGGGTTGCTACATCAATGTATTTCTAATAAAATACTGCATGCAGTCATCACGTGTCTCCTGGTGCCGGTTGTACGAAAGTTTTGATAAGTTGGTATCCATGCCGGGACTTATAGTTGCATTTTTCGCAACTATTCCTGCATGGTTAGGTCTAATAAAATCTATATAAATTTCCACTCGATAATTTCCATCTGCATGCTCTTCAACTATTATTGAATTGAATGAGATCGCAACAAAAAATATTGATATTTATCCATGCAATAGTTAAATTCCATGTACAGTTCTAATTGCGTTGGACGGCGGATAAAAATATACATTATGTACTGGATAAATTTATCAGAGGGCTGGAAGTAATTTTAATCCACTAAATCAGTTGATAAAACTTAAACTCTTGACTCTCAAGTTTACTGTGTCGCTTTGACCAACATTTCCATAATCTCCGTGAAATTATGATCAAATTATTTGAAACTGCCAATCAACAGTGCTTGTTAACTTCGCTTTGCCCTAGCCATCCTATACTGATCCGCGAATTTTAGTACAGGAAAACGAAGGTCTGTACTCAGCCTGTAGGATTAAAAAAAATCAACAAACATCGGATGGGAAACTCGTCTGATAGTATTCCGTCTGATATAAATATGAAACAGACACCATTCGATGCGTAAACCCCCAAATTCCCGAAAACCACAATATTAGTCTCTTTTCGATGTTGGCCCCTAAATATATTCGTAAAATAATATTTAGCTATATAACCTTTCCATCCTTTAGTTGAACATCTCCATCACTGGATCGTGAGAGAATTACATAACTAATAATTTTTCTTTTTTTAGTATCTTTCATTTTTCGTCGAAGTTGTTTTAAGAGCGTTCAATTACTCTGTTTTTCCTGCATTTCTTATGCACAAGTAAGTGTCATTTATAGACTCACGATAATCCCCAAGCAACGGGATGAGGAGCTAAGTCCGTCCGGCTAATTACACTGTAGCAATGCAGTTAAAAATAGGTTTTGTATTTTCTTGAAAGGAACTGAATAATAAAAATGACATGGGACAATTAGCCATTTCCCAAAGTCCTGGGTCTAGTCGCGCGAATCCCATGTTGGAGGGACACGAAATATGGCAGCACACATTTAAATTTAAAGTTTAATGTAGAAAGGAGATATTTCAGTTTTGGTCGTCTAAAAAGTTGATATTTGATAGTGGATACTTCTATAGTAAATACACCATGCATTTTGTCCCTCCAAACGATCCCAGAATGCCCTATGATCTATTTTGGAAAAGGCAAATTTAAACATTTCCTCGCTGATTATAATAAATATAATAACAAATAAGTTTTAAAGTCAAACATAGGTCTAATACACATGCATCTAACAGGGCTGTACACAGCGGGTAGGCGTAACTGCTCCCCCCGCCCTGCCCAGAAAATTTAACTAATTTTATAATGTGATTATGATTGTAACGGATAATTATGCAGTCAGGAAATAAAAATTTCATGAGCAGACGGCTATTTAGTAAACTGTAACTTGTCAATCTATGCACTCATTGAATTTTCAAAACTTTATTGTAATCATATGAAGCAAATCAAAGTGTGTCTAATACTATATAGCACGGTCCTTTGAAAGACAGACTGTATATAATTATTATACTGAATAGGCTACCGTGTTAAAAGAAATTTTATTAAAGATTAAAGATTAAAGTTCTGTCACTTGTTGTTTACACTTGTAAATGTTAACTGTTAAGGCCCTGACACACTATTGCGTATGAGAGAAACCTATGAGAAGCGTATGAAAATTAATGAAATCATTTTCATACGCACAAAAATCCGCTTTGAAATGCCAGCGTATGAGTACCGTACATCTGGTCAGGGCGCTATAAAACACGGGCGGGGAAACGCGCTAATAAATGACCGTGCTACGTGTGATGCACATTAGGATTGGCGCGAGCGCGCTTTCTCTAAAAAAATCAGAAAATCGCGTACAAGATGGCAACAAAAAAATGTAAACAAGCAAACGAGAAAACAAAGGATTTAGTGACTCATTTAGATGCTAAATTATTACGTTTCGTTAATTAAAATTTGAAATATTATTTAATAAGTTATATCACATGTAATAGCTTGTGTTGTTTGTTACTGAACACTTGTTGAAAGAAAATATGAGGGCAAAAATTTTACTCGAGCGATTAAAATATTTTCAAAATTTAAAGCGCGCCGTGTTTAAAATACTGTTTTCTCCTCGTTGAGATAGGTTGAGATAAATTTGAACTCATCAAACTATAGACATTTAACTTTCCTTTATGTCAAGTAAGATTGAACGGTGCTTTTTTGTGCTTTTTTCATAAAACGGAGATATCTTGCAGCCTTTATAGTTTTTCGTATACTCCACACGGCAATTCCTCGACTACTTATATACTTATTTATGCAGATAAGACGATATTTGAACATAAATTGGTATCTATTTCACTTGCAAAATGAACAAAGCGATTGTTGAGGAAAAGACATGCATTTTGAACTCGATTTTGACGACTTTTTTTTTTCTTGTCAAAGCGCGGACGTGTTTAAAATAGTGTTTTCTCTTCGTTGAGATAGGTTGAGATAAATTTGAACCGACCGAACTATAGACATTTAACTTGGCTTTATGTCTCAAGTAAAATTGAACGGTGCTTTTTTGTGCTTTTTTCATAAAATGGAGATATCTTGCAGCCTTTATAGTTTCAGTATACTCCACACGACAATATAGATTCGCGACTACTATTATTTATGCAGATAAGACGATATTTAAACAGCACAAATTTTCAATTATCATTTGAACGAAATCACTTCCTGCCTCAAATACATACTATAAACGTTTAGTGAAGGATCTAGTATCAGCTTATATAGTTAAAATTGGTATCTATTTCACATGCAAAATGAACAAAGCCATTGTTGTAGCCTGCGAACAGGCTCTCAAGCTGAATTGAGAGCCTGCATCGATGACTAATGAATTTGAATATCTGCCCCGTAACGTTCGTTTTTCCAAATATGGAATGTCTATCCTTATATGGTGTTGTTTACAACTTTCGTGCAAACTAAATTTAGACCATGCAAACTAAATTTAGACCGTACAGTTTATACTGTTTTTCGAAATATAAGATATTGAAGCAAAAGTTTACATGTTTTAAATACTGTTTTCTCAAAATAGAACATTCCGTGCTTTGAGATAAGATGGCCACGACCAATTTGATCAGCTAATGTGTTTTTTATGCATTGTGCTAGCAGTTGACATATATAGAGCTCAGCGGAATAATATAAATTAGTATAATTACATAGGTGATTATTGAAAATTCTCCACGCTGATTGGTTGCCGTTGAGGTGATTATTACGCGATAATCACCTAAGCGATTTTCACAATGGCGGCCGAAGCCTTTTTGTCAATTAAATGACAAAGAAATGTGTATTTTCTTATTTTTTTCCAAATAATCACCTATGAAATTATACTAAAACAATTATTCACCTCGGGCTCGGTGATTATCGTGAATAAAAACCTCGACTTCGTCTCGGTTTTTATTCACCGATAATCACCTCGCCTTCGGCGAATAAATGTTAATTATAGCATCTGACCAATGAGAATTTCGCGTCACGATTTGAGACGCAGATATTCAAATTCATTAGTCATCGATGCAGGCTCTCAATTCAGCTTGAGAGCCTGTTCGCAGGCTACCATTGTTGAGGAAGAGACATGCATTTTGAACTCGATTTTGACGACATTTTTTCTTTTTTGTCAAAGCGCGGACGTATTTAAAATAGTGTTTTCTCCTCGTTGAGATAGGTTGAGATGAATTTGAACACGCCAAACTATAGACATTTAACTTGGCTTTATGTCTCACGTAAAATTGAACGGTGCTTTTCATAAAATGGAGATATTTTGAAGCCTTTATAGTTTTCCGTAACACTGTCACTGCAATGTCAACGACTGCAATGGCACGAAAAAAGATTCACGCTAAATATTTTTGGAGTGTCGGCGGCAGTTATACCAATAATAGAAATCAAATCAATTAGTAAAAAACACTTTACAATAAACTTTCAATGGATTCCAAGCAGGCCGGCTGATTTTAAAACACAAAAACGGTTATATATTTAAGTTTTCAAATTGTCGAGCAAATTGACAATTGTAGTTGGGTTTTTTTTCAAATTCTAGTTGTTTTTAATAAATACATGCATGGTCAATTTTGGGCTATATGATTATTGAAAAATAGTAGCCAAGCAATGTCCGAGAATATTCTTACTGTAAAAATGTTTATCCTACCTTCGCATTATGAAGTAAAATATCCCATTTCAAACCAAAAATTTCGTATTTGGAATATGCCCACATTCGATCAGCTCGATTCCGTTTCAAATTTTTATTTCGCTCATGATGAATCTTTAAAGCCCCTTTTCCTTCATCAGATATACAGAAAATGAATCCAACAATGTCCTCAAACCAACAAGTTGTTTAGGAATGTGCAGAAAATATTTTTACTTCAGTTTTTTCAGCTCTTTTTTGCATAAACATTCCAATTCCATTTTTATTGACATTATAAATTAATGTATACGGGGGGTACGCGCATCACACAAGGATCAGGGGCGCTATCTCCGTTTCACCGCCCGTGTTTTATAGCGCCCTGATCTGGCGTACCTCTAGCGTTTTCGGCGTGTGCCTAGAGTATGCTTATTGTATAAAGCATACGTCCGATACGCACAAAATTTTTGAACATGGTTAAAAAAATGTTCTGCCTCGCCGTATGCCAGCGTATGCCACCGTATATGCGACCGTGCTTGAAACGTATATGCCAGCGTACACGGGCGTATGAGTGATATTTTTCATACACTGGCATACGCTAGTACGATACGCAATAGTGTGACAGGGCCTTTAAGTAACATACACAAACTAGTTGAGAAACATGCATTACTGTAGCAAAAAGGTCAACCATACATCAAAAACCACTGAATAGTAGAGAATGTTTTGAAGGTCATCAGTGAAGTATATATAATTCAATATATACCACACTGTTCGGTATAACACAGAATATCCACACAAAAACAATTTGTGTTGTGGGAGAAAATCGGTTTGAGTCGAAGGTATCACAAGCTTAGTTTTGCACATTGTGTGCCATGGATCTGATCCATCCGTATAATATATAATCATTGTAGCTTTTCCATACTAATGAATTTGGATCAGATTTTCTTGCAAGTGGGTTGTTCTGACAAAATATCTGGCCAATATCCAGTTCATTTATTCATCATTCTTGTATATACAAATTACATTCTCTATATATACCGGGTGGCCCAAAAAAAAGTACTCCTGTTTGATTCGTAATAACATCTAAACAAGTATAGCTTTTAAAGAGAAATAACTTGCAACAAATATAGGAAGGACTAACTTAGACTTTGATATATTACAGTTGTATTTTACTTAAAAATTCACGGAGATATTAATCTTTAAATTCGGGAGGATATTTCTGGATGTGTCTGAAATATGCAAAAATCGGCGTATCAAATATTAATCAAGATTTGCCCGACTGAAACATGCACTATTACCAGTAAATAAATGACACTTGACAAATTGTTTATTATGAAACAAAGTATTATTATATCTACAAAATACAAACAAGATTCATTCGTCCGAAATTCGCGTGTGTTCCTAGCACGAATACGTTTCCTTATTTCATGAGACCACTGCATCGCGAAGGATCGTCATTGGATCGTTCGTAGTTCTGAATTAGGGCATGCTGTCACAACCTAATATTAAATACTTGCATAATTTCGAACGTTCATATTTCAGGAAACAATGAGCTAAGACTTACATGTAAGATGTCTAAATCTACGCCATATCCCTTACAAACCTTAACGATAATTCGCTGAAATACAAGTTAGCCT